AATAAGTGATAGTGTTTCGGTAAGCTTACATAAATTTGGATTCAGATTTCGGAACTCGACAATCTCATATCCTGACAGGCTTCTGTTGGACAACCTGGTCTTCATCTGATAAAGTTTTCTTTCATTCTTTCAAACCTTCTGATTTTCCTGCATTTGGAAATTTTCAGATACTGGTTTCTCTTCGGTTGAATGTAAGAAAAATCGCATCATGTAATTCCATGGGAAAAAAATTTCAATCGTGTCGTCTAAATTCTTTAAGAGTTCATGATATGTTTCCAAGTCAACGGTACATTTGTGTACACGGTTTCTGGGGAAGATGTGTGACGTACTTTCTGCTGCTTCCTCAAAGAACATGCAATTTACTCAAAATGATCCCCAAATAATCTTGTAGAACTAAAGAATTTACAAATCAAGTCCGCAATCGCGGTTTATGTCATCTATCACAGTCACAAAATTGATATTGAAAATATTAAAATTATTCAAAAAGGTTTTTCAAACTACATAGAAAGAAGAATAGTTGAGGCATTTCACATCATATTGAATCCTAATGCACTCAACAGAAAGGAAGGCCTAACTATCAAATTAACCTAGACAGTATTTCCAAAAACAGCACATCGCATACAATGATCAGAACAAAAGTGCATACACACAAATAAACCGAATTAGCCACCCATAGAGTTTTTCCTACACATTCCCACTCGGTCACATGTGCACATATTCACATCGTCTTGAACTCCAGACCAGTAATGTATAGGAAAGACAAGTTTGAACGCTTCCTGACCAACATAACAATGACATTTATTATGATTTGACTATCTAAGCCGTAGTTTGGCAGACTAGTATTTGTACTGGGTGATGCGTGAAGGTGAAACGAAAATCTGGACCACAGCTGGACTCGTGCTACGAGGTCCAACTGCTGACCAGAATTTTCGTAGCTCAGTTGGTAGAGCATTGGGTCGGTAACCCCGGTGGTCGCTGGTTCGAATCTGGTCGCGGTCCAGATTTTCATCTCACCTTCAATCATCACCCAGTATAAATGACGTTTATGTTCATATTATTATCATGCATAGACAGTGTGATCTGATTCGTCACCATTTACTATTTAAACACTGGATAACTTGTACAGGTTTTATTCTCTGAACAAGCGATTTCCACGAAATCGCAAAATGTCAGAAACTTATTTTTCCACTTCATTGGGATTGTGCAAATATATTTCATATATAATCCAGACTTGTATGCAGAAAAAAAAAGGTTATCAGTCTGTGCCTCTCACGGTAAAGAGACTCTAGTTTTGTTGATAATCATCATGTGTTTTACATATTTTCGATTCATACAAGTTGGTTTTATGTTTTGTTTCCCGTTATTTTACATTTCACACCCTTGACCTAATTATATGGATCCTACTCACATTATCCTCTTGTTAACATAAATCTTATGATTTTACACACATTTTGTGTAAGTTTTCTGAATACGTTGACTACACTTGCCCCCTCTCCCTCTCATCTAACTTCCACTGGGGAATATTCATCTAATCGTTCTCTACATTGGCAAACTTAGCTCTGCATATTTATTCGCTCAATTCATGTGTTTTCAATTACTTTATATCGATGATATCTTTGTTTCAAGTCGACAATTTTCTGTCAAGCTGATTCGAGTATGCAAACATTTTGTATAAACTGATGTTAAGATTGTTTTAGGTTGTAAGCAACTGATGAGAAACCCCAAAATAAAACGGATTTATGCCATGCTACTAAGGCTGTTTTTGTGTTTCTTTGTGAATGGTAGGAATTGTATAAGCTTTATATTCGCGTGGCTGGAAGCAGAACGCAGGCATTGGGAAATTGCAAGTCACGGTGTTTAGGAGACTATATCTTGATGGCGTCGTTACTCAGCATGACTCATACGCATAATACAGGTCTATTATTGTCTTTGATAACAACACCAATCCTTGAAACAGTAGGCGAGATGGGAATGATTATTTATTCTGAATACATGAACCTTAGAAGCTTCATTGTGAGAACGGAAGGTTTTTGGCATTTTCGAGAGATTTTCAAACACGTTTAAAAGAGACAGTTAAAACAAAAAGGGCTGCTTCTTGTTGTCGAATCGAATCAAACTTCACTCAGCTACGCTGAGCCCATTCGTGCGGTAGGTAGTGCATTACACCTGGTGTGAGGGCCAGTGAAACTATGTGGCTGCCCAATCCGGCCGATAGCTGCTACCTTGATGTGGTGGTCCAGGCCCGTATATGAAATGGCCCAACGAGCTATGCTGGTGGGACGCTTGTTTCCTGAAAGTCCTATCAAGGCAGAGAAGTCTATTACCATTGTAGGATACATTACTACACTATGATGCGCGTCTGAAGGTGAAGTCGTTCTGCTGCTAGGTGGATAGAGTGTGACAGCAGTAAGCCTAGCCAGCTCTAGCTTTAGGCATAAGAGGAGCCATTATCTCACATGGCATCCACTGGCTTCAAACGAACGATGGACACAGATAGACCACATTGCTATAAGTCATCGTCGGAGAGGATCAATGGAGAATTGGGGCCCTTTCAGGAGTACTTATTTGCAATGCGACCACGCGCTACTGCAGGCTCATGTGTCTCCACGTTACTGACCACAGGAAAGAGGAGGCAGTGAGGCCCATCTGTGCTCGACTGGTATATGAGGACACCAAGTACGCATTTAGAGGAGTTAGCTAAGCATTTAATTGGACTTGATAGCAATGTTCATCTTGAGGAAACCTGGCGTGATATTAAGTCTGCCACTGAAAGTGGCAAAGAATTAGTTACTTACACGCGAAGGTTAGAAAACGTCACTGGATTTCTGAGAAGTCAACCGAACTGATTGGTGCGAGAAGACTGATTCCAGCTGGCTCTGACCACGATGAAGAGAGAAAGCAACTCGTGTCGACCACGAGAAGTGGTGGGTGGCGAAATCAGGTGAGATAGAGAAGGCATCAGCTCTGCGTACCACGGCAACTATTTAGGCCTATTAAGGATACAGGCAAGAA